TGAGATATCCTGTTTTCTAAAAGCCTACCCTTATTGTTTTCACGAAAGGTATTGAGTCGAGATAGTGATGCATACATCACGTACACGAAATTTAATTGCTTTTTGCAATCTTTCTTCGGGTCCTGACTTCTCTGAGGATTAGTGGCGTTAAAACTCATCGCATTCGAGTCGGATTTGTAAAAGGCAAATAGCGAAAGAAATAGTATTTAGATTTCGCATCACGTAGCACTGGTTTATCACAACATGTCCAGTTTTCACAAACGCTGTTGTCTTCGCACTTTTACTATGTCTCTCAGAAGATTGTACATAAATCTATAGCGCTTTCCTTACTCCACGAATACCTATTTTATCCCCAAACATAAATTTATTCCACTTACTAAGTTGAAAGATGTTATGTCGACGAACCCAGTATCTTCAACACCTAGTTCTTTTCAATAGCGATAAGTCTATACATAGTGTTTGGCATTGCTTAAATAGCTTCCCATTTTTTTCAAAAATCAAAAACCATTGTATAAGAATGGCCTTCTTGAGGTAAGCCTTCAGCCAGTTCTTTAGAAACACTATTGAAGGTGACCCATTGCCTATGGTCGGAAATTGGTCGGAACAGATGATAGTCGATTAGCAAGCTATAGAGTACATAGAAACTCAGTATCGTTTGTGGAAATACCCCCCGGCCATTAACACATATTTGTTCGGAACCGCACCTATGTACGCAATTCCAACACCCCAAAGTGCGTTATTTGCCCTGTGGGGAGGAGCGGAGATTGCATACGCACGGGATTGTCTACCTCACTTCAAAAAAGGACTGCGACATATATCCGTGAGAATGCGTGCGCTCTATGCGCCCGTATCAAAAAACATCTAGTAGGCTGAGATAAGTTACGCCCATCCACTCCTTCAGGCATTCACAGAACGCAAAAGCATGCGGGAAAGCAATTTGAGATGCAGTAACGCCCATGGTTCAACACTACTGCAGATTTTTGCTTGTGAGGCTGAAAAGACGTTTAGCCGGGTAAATCGCATTCCTTTTTGTCCATTTCAGGCCCAAAAAAGGCGATTCTCCCCAAATGTCAGCCAGTAAATCTATTAACAATCTCAAGCTTCTAAGAAAATCAATCAGTGGCATACACAGAAACTGTTAAACCCTATCAATACCTCTTTTAAACTCGGTGGCAAGCGAAATGCTTAAATGCTTATAAAATAGCACCTACATCTTCTTATCTACTCAAATTCTGATGTTACCTGAGTTCTGAGAAGACGCCATTGCAATAAAACATGGAAGATACGAACAAAGAGTAAAACTCTGAAGCTCATTAAATTAGCCTTTATACAAAATTCTTCATTTCATTTGAATCTGAGTTGAGAGATATCAATGTACAATCAGAAAAGATGGAGTTCTTGCGAAACCTGTAGGTTGTCTTGGCATCTATTGAACGCAGATGAGGTAGCATTTCTAGCGCAGCTTTTCTGAAAAGCTTCTTAAATATTTGCACCAGATACATATTATACAACAGGAAAAAAATACCTGTATTGTTTGTAGAGATGATGAGATCTATCGCAGATAAGGTTGCGCCATCCTGGATTTCCTATAAGGCTAAGTGAGGTAAGATTTGGGCAGCATTTATGCAGGTTATGAAGAAGGACAGAAACGTCACGAACCTGTAAAAGAATTTATTTATCAAAATTCTCAACCCCTTAAAAATTTGAGTTTATTGTAAACTTGCTCTGTTTAAATCGATGCTCAATGTTTTAAGTCGAGGAAAAACAGGCATGTTGAAAGCATTTTCGCCGAGGAGATTCCCGTCAGCAATAAGATGAACCAATGTGTTACGATTCCGAATAACGATTGGTGGAAGAATCCTAAATCACGTATAGTTTTGTCAATATTACATTTCACAAAAAGAGAACACTCCTTCTGAGACACTCTGTGATTACAGCGTTTCGAGCTGTGTAGCTTTCTAACACCGTTGTTTATATCGTTTTTCTTAATTATAGACAATATAGGTTATTAGTTGGGATACCTATTTATCAACGCTTACTCATCCACTATTAACCGACAATAAAAGACATGATAACCTACGGTCCACATGCAAGTAAGAAAAAAAAGATATGGAAACTCCTAAGTGACTTTTTTTTAATCGTTATCTTATTCGGGCCATACATTAGCGACTTCAAAACGAAAGCGACATTCAGATTTAGAATGTCTTTTTTTTTGAGAAAAAGTTCTCGCA